GCAGGGTGCTGTCCAAGTAGGCCCAAGCCTGTTGTTTGAGGTCCTGCTCCAGGTCCACCTGATGCTACTGCTGCTGCGGCTGGTTAGTAGTTTCCTCACTGCGCTGGTGAAGAAAGCTACTCATCATCGACTGCAGACTGAGGCAGCCGCTGCTGGTGGAGCTACCACTGCTCCTACCACCCCACCCCTCCCCTGCTGCCATGGCAGCGGAACGCGAGCGCACAGGGCCCACAGTGTCTGAGGATGGACGTTGGCGCACAAAGGCAGAGACCAACTGACTACATAGGTGGTTTTTATAGTACGTTATTTTGGCCTCCCTCTCAGCAGGTGTGAAAAAGGCCACCATTTTTAAACGGTAGCGAGGGTCCAACAAGGTGGACAGCCAAAAGTCATCCCTCTGTCTGATGGTTATTATTCGGCTGTCGCTACGCAAGCAACCGAGCATGCTATGGGCCATTTGTGCCAAGGAATGCGAGGGACTCCCTGCCTCCATCTCCACAGCATACTGCCACGGTGCGTCTGGGTCCTCTGTCTCCTCCTCCTCCTCCTCCTCTACCAGATGCTCCTGCTCCTCCACTCCTGTCCGCTGAGTGGAAAAACCACCCATTTCACTCAATAATTCCTGAGCACAAATGTCCTCCTCTACCTCCTCCTCTTCTTCCTGTCCTGCCCCCACAGGGGTCATGTGGCGTTGAGATCTGTGCGCCACGTCTACCGCACCCCTGACCAGCCATTGTTAACAGCATTTGTTCCAGGACGTGCAACAGAGGAATGACGTCGTTCATCCCATAGTCCTGCCGACTCACGAATAGCGTGGCCTCCTCAAAGGGCCTGAGCAAGCGGCAGGTGTCACGCATGAGCTGCCAATGGCTGACATCGAAGTTACACAGGGGAGTACCTTTATCCGCTTGTAACATCAGTTCATTACACTCAGAAGTTCCTCCCCTGTGTGACTACGTTCGCCAAGGCATACCAGGTGCAGCACAGCGTGACACCGTTGCGCCCTGCACATGTGATATGCCGGTCGGGTAATGGGACTTGGCACGGGGGGTGGCAGCTGAGGACACGGCGGAAGAAGAGGTGGTAGAGGCGGACATCTTTGCCGGACCAAGGACGTGCAAACGTGGAGGCAAAAAAGCGGCGTGACCTGTCCAAGTTGCTGGTGCGGCTGTGACGGCACCACGTTCACCCAGTGGGCCGTAAATGACATGTACTGTCCCTGACCGTAGTTACAGCTCCACACATCGGCGCTGCCGTGCACTTTGGCAGAGACCGACATGCTCAAAGACTGGCCCACCATCTCTTCTACATGTGAATGCAGGGCTGGCACTGCCTTTTTGGCGAAGAAATGACGGCTTGGCACTCTCCACCGCGGCGCGGCACAAGCCATCATTTCTCGGAAAGGTGCTGAGTCCACCACTTGGAAAGGGAGGGACTGCAGCACCAGCAACTTGGACAGGAGGACGTTCAGCTTTTGCACCGTCGGGTGCGTGCTTGCAAACTGTTGTCTCTTGGAAACGGATTCCAAGAAAGACTGCTGACGGAATCCGTGAAGAGGAGTAGCAGGAGAAGGAGCATCTGAACGAGCGGAAGATGCCAACGAGCGACAACTCCCTCAGCAGAGGTGTTGGAGCCTTGACTGGCTGATAGAGGGCGATTGACGTCGGGTGACGGAGCAAGTAACGGAGCGTGGGCTGGGGCGGGCAGAACCGCCGTATCTTTATCACGGTTTTCCCAGGCCACCAAAATGGCGACACTGCATATGCTGCCGCAACGCTGTAGTCCCAACATGGGCCCCCTGGCCACGCTTGACTTTCTGGCCACATAGTCGACATACGGCTACGTTTACTTCCTCGGGCGGCTTGACAAAAAAATTGCCATACCGCCGAGTAGGAAAATTTGCCCCCGATACTCCTCACTGGCTGACTGCTGCTTCCTCCGTGCACACCGGCACCACTACTGGCCGTGGTGGTAGGCTGCAGTGGAGCTGGTGCTGTACTCCATGGCCGTTTGCCTCCACTGACACTGCTGCGACCCTGCTGCCTCCTGGGCAACCCACCGACTGTTTTGCTCGCTGCCAAGCTGCCACCCTCTTCTCCTGATGATGCGGAAGCAATAGCCTGATGACGACGAGGCTGCCAAGTGCGATCAGCCTCATCATCATCAATTAGGGTCTCCGCCTCACTACTAGCCCCCTCGGCTGCGTGTGGGTCAGGAGACAGACCTGTCTCTAGACCGGCTACCGAGCCACTCTCCTCGCCACTACTTCTTCGCCTGGCTGCTGAAGAGGCGGATGTCTCCCCCCGTTCCTGACCGCCCTCTGTTAGCTCTTCCTCACTGTACAGTGGGACTGAGCCCCAGCATGCGATAGTTCGCTTGGTGAGGGAACACCAAAGGACAGGGGCAGGTAGAGGACACGTGATTTCAGTGGGCTTGCTCCCGGGCCATGCCAACTAACGGTTGTGTCTGACGTACCCACCGACCGTTGGCTGTAGGTGTCAGAGGTGACCTGGGAAGAGGAAGACGACCGAGCCAACCAATCGATGACGGCAGGGTTGTCGGTGGAGACACGACCGCTGGATGACACCGGGAGCACTGGCCTCTGGCTGCGAATAGTGCTGCCTCGACCCCTTCCTCTGCTGCCACGTCTGCTCGCTCCTAAAACATTGCCTCCTCTGCCACTCCTCTGCATGTTGTCTGACATACTCTTTAATTAAACGATTCTGTGTCCCTGAGTAACAATTCTGTGTCTGTCCCTGAGTAACAATTCTGTGTCCCTGAGTAACAATTCTGTGTCCCTCAGTAACAATTCTGTGTCTGTCCCTGAGTAACAATTCTGTGTCCCTCAGTAACAATTCTGTGTCCCTCAGTAACAATTCTGTGTCCCTCAGTAACAATTCTGTGTCCCTCAGTAACAATTCTGTGTCCCTCAGTAACAATTCTGTGTCCCTCAGTAACAATTCTGTGTCTGTCCCTGAGTAACAATTCTGTGTCTGTCCCTGAGTAACAATTCTGTGTCTGTCCCTGAGTAACGTTTCTCTGGCCCTAAGTAACAGTTCTGTGGCCCTCAGAACAATTCTGTGTCCCTCAGTAACAATTCTGTGTCTGTCCCTGAGTAACAATTCTGTGTCTGTTCCTGAGTAACAATTCTGTGTCCCTGAGTAACAATTCTGTGTCCCTGAGTAACAATTCTGTGTCACTCAGTAACAATTCTGTGTCACTCAGTAACAATTCTGTGTCCCTCAGTAACAATTCTGTGTCCCTCAGTAACAATTCTGTGTCTGTCCCGGAGTAACAATTCTGTGTCTGTCCCTGAGTAACAATTCTGTGTCCCTAAGTAACGTTTCTGTGGCCCTAAGTAACGTTTCTGTGGCCCTAAGTAACGATTCTGTGGCCCTAAGTAACGATTCTGTGGCCCTAAGTAACGTTTCTGTGGCCCTAAGTAACGATTCTGTGGCCCTAACTAACGTTTCTGTGTCCCTAACTCTCTCCCTGAATACAGCCAGGTCTGCCTCTGTTGAATGACTGGAGGCAAATGGAGAATTCTAAAATGGCCACCATTTATAGCTCAACCATTACACTGTGCTGGCTGGCTGGCTGCTGATTGGCTAATGCGATCACATGTCATGAATGAATGCATTATGGGTCAGCGCGCCTTGTCTGCGCGCCTTCCCAGACATCCCCGCTCCGTCGCCGCACATGTCGCCGCCATTTTAGGAAAAAATTTCGATTCGCGTCGAATCCGAAAATAAGCAGACTTCGGATGCGCGAATCGAAATTTTCCTAATATTCGAAACGAATTCCACTTCGCCTACTTCGATTCGCTCATCTCTACCTACTACCTCTGCCCTATGCCCTCTGAGGTCCTATTGCCTTTCCCACAACTCTCTCAGACGTTTCATCTTCCGTGAGGTATGTTATTTAGGTACTTTCAACTGAAATATATTGCCAAGGTGCAAGTTCTGAAACCTCCTATCCTCCAGGCGGACCCTATTGAGGGGCTGTTGACTCAGAGAGACCCCAAAAAATAGCATTATCTGCTCTTTATGGACCGTTGCTGTGTATTAACTTCCCTAAGATTGAGAAGCTGTGGGCAACCTGGAAAGAGGACATTCCCTCTCTAGATGAGGACTGAAAAGATGCTCTAGAACAGGGTCCCAAGTTGGTCAACTCCTCTAGAGATAAACTCATACAGGTCAAATTTTTGCACAGGGTTTTTATTCACATCTGAGGCTTTCTCAGATATATCCGGAATGGGATCCAAATTGTCCTCATTGCTGGCTACATCTTGGATCCTTTCTACATATGTTTTGGACATGTTCTAGGATAATCCCCTTTTGGTCTGAAATTTTTTAATTACTCGATGTACAACTGTCCCTTTTGCCTGATATGGCCTTATTGGGGCTTCATAATGATTAGCAACAGTCCCACATTTGAAATTGTTAATATCTTATCTCCTGTATTATGCCAAAATAGAGATCTTACTGAAGTGGAACTGAAGGGGACTCTCCTGTGGTGTCATCTTAGGAGGCTGCCATCAAAGCAGCTCTTCCCATATATAAGCTCACTTATATCAGCAGAGGTTCTCCCTGGAAATACGATAAGGTGTGGCTCCCCTGGATGTCCCACTGAGGGTTTGTGGATTGACCGTCCACCCCCATATTATCCCCGCTCTTTTAACAGTTGGTAACTATTAAGGTCTCCACTCCCTCCCCTCCTTCCCGCTCCCTTGCCACTCCCCCCTCTTTGTACCTCCTTCCTACCCCCTTCTTTTCTCCCTCTTGTTGGTCCTTTATTCACTGGGTTTCACCCTGGTATTGTTTAAGACACAGTACCGCTGTGTAATGTGGTGTGTATGATATGTATACTGACTGATTTTTTCCTGCTTCATGTTAGTGTCAGTCAGGAACGATGGAATGGGCAGGCAGGCCTATGGTACGGTCACGCCGCGACTGACGACAGCCACTACCCACAGACCAGAGTCCCTCAGGGCACGGAGTCTAAGCCCCAGGCTACCCTTCACCAGGGCCCCTGATGGTGGGGATGGACTTGATGCAGCCTGAGACCAGGTCGCGGCCCCCCGAGTTACCCCAGCTGAGGTAACGACTGCCGCCAATGGTGTACAGCTGGTGGGAGCTAGATGGGAACACGTGTAGCGTAGTCAGACAGGCCGGGTCAATAACAATGGAGCAGACAGTAGTAGACGGTAAGCAAAGAATACTCAGGTCACGGGCCAGGTTCATCAACGGAAGGTCAGGTAAAGGGTTTAAAGCAGCAAATAGTCTTGTCCAAGCCGAGACGGTTACCAGGAGAGCAACGAGAACAGAACAAGAGCTTGCAACAAGGAAACATACAGGACACTAATGCAGAGAGCACTTGCAGACAGCAGGTTTAAATGTGCTCAACCACACCCTTCTGAGGAGGAGCCGCAGAAGCCTGAAGGCATAAAGGTTCCCACCATGCTTTGCAGAAACCCAAGATGGATGCCAGCACATTGAGATGCACAAGCTCTGAAGAAAGGTAGGACCTTGACAGTTAGATGTAATACAACATCTAGTGGCTGTACTCCGTACTATACTACGCTTTCCATGTCACACAGTTTATGGTTTTCAACTGTATTGTTATTTCATTTCTTTTTTACAATAAAATCCTGTATTGTAAAAAAAAAAAAGAAAAGCTATATTAGATATCTTGCAGAGAGAGAAAATGTTCATGATGTTTAGAGGTTTTAACTCATTAGTAACTTGTATTGTTGAATACTCATAAAGCATACAATCTGATCAAATTGGCTTCATATCAAATGAAGAGTCTCCTTCAGGCAGTTTTGGATATCACTCAAGAAATCAGATCTTTTAACAAGTCCCAGAACACTCAAACTACTTCTAGGCAGATATTGCTGCTGGGACTACAATTTACCAATTTGTTCATCGTCCTAAAAAAGCTTATACTAAACCATTATTCCCAAGCCAAAAATGTGGAAGCATACTTAGCTAGCTTAATTAAACAATGTAGATCCAAGGAAAAGATTAATTTTTGATATCTTAGCTGAGCAATACAAATTATAGCCCAGAAGGTAGTCAGTGACATTAGGAAATGTTATTCTTCTTTGTGTAATCTGAAAACTGATAAGCACACTTACAATTCACACCAACAAAAAATCAATAGCTTTCAGACTAAGCCACACTGGCCTAGCTCCACTGTAGAGCACAAACTGGACCTCTCTAGACCTTTCACCACATCTATAATCCTCAAAGCTGTTAAACAGCTTCCTTTATGAAAGTAGCCTGTCAAGGATGAATTTTTAAAAGAACATTATAAATCCTTCTGGAACAGTTTGTCCCCTATTTTGAAACGATATTTAACTTGGCCATGATGGAGGGCCAATTCATCAGTGAGAACCTGAAGGCTATTATAGTGACACACCCTAAACTGATGACCAGTTCAGATCTTTTACCCTATATCTATTACATATGGATGTTATACTGTATGTTAAAATACCATGTACTACCATCCCACAGAGAAGACATCCACTGGGGATACCTTTTTGAGCATCTTGCATAAATGTGGCTTCTTAGCCCAATATATTCAGCAATTATGGTCTTTACTCTATACCCAATGCTAAAGTTTGTACCAGGGGCAGACTTGGCAAACAATTGCCCCCTGGGCCACTCTAATGCCCCATGGACAGGCCATACCTCCCAACATGCCTGGGGACTCTCCCCACTGGCTGCCTCTGACACATACACACTGCAGAGTGGAGCACAGTGAACTCATCCCCTCCTCCTCCTCAGCTGTGATGTTTTCCTGTACACAGACAGAAGGAGGAGGGGAGGAGGTACACCACTCTGAAGGTCTGATGATGGGGCCCCCTCTGATGAAGGCACATGGTGTGATGTAACACGCAAGGGCGTGGCTGCCTGGCAGATGTGAATTGTGTCTAACACTACCTGGAAGTGCAGCTTATCTGGTGATGTTCCTTACCTGATTTATAGTGCTTTTACTTATATTTACATGTGAGTGCAATACTTTTATAACATAATAAAGATACCCTTGTTAATACATATGGCACCATTGGAGTGTCCTTTTGTCTCCTACAATGAGGGCAATTATCTCAGACTTCCAACAAGTCCCCCCCCCCCCCTTAAAGGGACTGGGTCCCATATCTTGCTTGATGCTGTTTTAAAGTACAAAGATGTTTGACCATTTCTACAAGGCTAATGATCGGGAGAGTGAAGATATCCTTACTGATGTGGCATTATTAAGCGCAATTTGATGTCTCTAAGGTGAGAGTTCGGTGAGCACTGAGGTGACACCGCCTGCATGATTATAGCACTTATCTAATGCTGCGGGTTTTGAGCACATGAAGAAGCAAATGAGCTGTGAAGAGTTGGATTGTTCACAATATCACTGATTATTTCACATACTATGGACTTGGTTTATGGACATTCATTTAACCACTTGCCCTCTAGAGGATTTACCCCCCTTAACCGCCTCCTGCCCAACATCCTCCCACTCTAACCGCGCGTGCACGGCGTCGGGAGTGCGCAATGCGGCGATCGGTTGTGCGCTGTCACTCGGAGACAGCGGATCACCGATCATCGGAAATAGACGAAGATGTCAGCTCGGTCATGTGATCAGCTGTGTCCAATCACAGCTGATCGCCTGTAAATGAGGAAATGCCAGTTATCGGCATTTCTCTCTTCACGAGCTGTCACGCTGACAGCTCGAGAGGAGAGCTGGTAATTGGCATTCCTCGGAGGGGATATGTACACTGATCATCAGGGCACTGATGATCAGTGTGCCCTGATGATCAGTGTAGCCCCAGCAGTGCCACCTGCCAGTGCCCATCAATGCCACCTGCCAGTGCCCATCAGTGCCTCATCAATGCCACATATCACTGCCTACCAGTACACATCAATGCACGAAGGGGGTATACAGTTATGGAAATAAGTATTTAATCCCCTGCTGATTTTGAATGTTTTCCCACTCACAAAGAAATGATCAGTCTACAAATCAAATGGTAGGTGTATTGTAACACTGAGAGACGGAATAGCAACAAACATTTCAAAAGATATGCATGTCTAACAAATGATGCACTGATTTGCATGCTCATGAAAGAAATAAGTATCTGATCCCCTATCATTCAGCAGGATTTATGGCTACCAGGTGTCTTTCATACAGGTAACAAGCTGAGATTATAAGCAGTCTCTTAAAGGGAGTGCTGCTAATCTCATTTTGTTATTTGTATAAAAGACACATGTCCACAGGAGCAATCAAACAATCAGATTCCAAACTCTCCACCAAAGACCAAAGAGCTGTCCAAGGATGTCAGGGAAAAAATTGTAGACCTACACAAGGATGGACTGGGCTACCAAACTATCGCCAAGCAGCTTGGTGAGAAGGTGACAACAGTTGGTGCAATCATTTGCAAACGGAAGACACACAAAACAACTGTCAGTCTCCCTAGGTCTGGTGCACCATGCAAGATCTCACCTCATGGAGTGTCAATGATCATGAGAACAGTGAGGAATCATCCCAGAACTGCACGAGAGGATCTTGTCAATGATCTCCAGGCAGCTGGGACCACAGTCACCAAGAAAACAATTGGTAACACACTACGCTGACAAGGATTGAAATCCTGCAGTGCTCGCAAGGCCCCTCTGCTCAAGAAAGCACATGTCCAGGCCCGTCTGAAGTTTCTCACTGAACATCTGAATGATGCAGAGAAGGACTGATTGAAAGTGTTGTGGTCAGATGAGACCAAAATCGAGCTCTTTGGCATCAACTCAACTCGCTGTGTTTGGAGGAGGAGGAATGCTGCCTATGACCCCAAGAACACCATCCAAACTGTCAAACATGGTGGTGGAAACATTCTGCTTTGGGGGTGTTTTTTCTGCATCAAAGGAACGATGGACGGGGCAATGTACCATCAAATCTTGGGTGAGAACCTTCTTACCTCAGCCAGGGCATTGAAAATGGGTCGTGGATGGGTGTTCCAGCATGACAATGACACAAAACACATGGCCAAGGCAACAGAGGAGTTGCTCAAGAAGAAGCTCATTAAGGTCCTGGAGGGGCCTAGCCAGTCTCCAGACCTTAATCCGATTGAAAATCTGTGGAGTGAGCTGAAAGTCCGAGTTGCCAAACGTCAGCCACCAAATCTTAATGACTTGGAGAGGATCTGCCAAGAGGAGTGGGCCAAAATCCCTCCTGAGATGTGTGCAAACCTGGTGGGCAACTACAGGAAATGTCTGACCTCTGTGATTGCCAACAAGGATTTGCTACCAAGTACTAAGTCATGTTTTATGAAAGGGATCAAATATTTATTTCCCTCATGAACATGCAAATCAGTGCATAATTTGTTAGACATGCATTTCTTTTGAATTTTTTGTTGCTATTCTGTCTCTCAGTGTTCCAGTACACCTACCATTGGATTTTTAGTTTGATCATTTCTTTGTGAGTGAACAAACATTCAAAATCAGCAGGCGATCAAATACTTATTTCCTTCACTGTAAGTGCCCTGTAGGTAAGTGGTTAATGACCAGTCCTCTTCTTGCTACTCGGCGCTGCACTAATTCAACTGATAATTGCGCAGTCTTGCTGCAAATGCTGTACCCAAACGAAATTTATGTCCTTCTTTACACACAAATAGAGCTTTCTTTTGGTGGTATTTGATCACCTGTGCGTTTTTTATTTTTCACGCTATAAACAAAAAAAGACAAAAAATGTTGAAGAAAAACAATATTTTTTACTTTTGGCTATAACAAATCTATAGTAAACTCAAAGTTTTTTATAAATTTAGGCCAAAATGTATTCTGCTACATGTTTTTGGTAAAAAAAAATCCCAATAAGTGTGTATATTGATTGCTTTGTATGAAAGTTGTAACGTCTACAAACTATGGTATAGATCAGGGGTGGGCAAACTTTTTGACTTGAGGGCCGCAATGGGTTCATATATTGGACCCGGGGGCCGGACCAAGAGTAGAGGAATGATGTGTATGTGTCATCCATAGTAAGTATAGTAATATTCCCCCATAGTAAGCATAGTAATTAATCCCCCTTATAGTAATTCATCCCCCATATAGTAATTCATCCCCCCTATAGTAATTCATCCCCCCTATAGTAATTCATCCCCCCTATAGTAATTCATCCCCCCTATAGTAATTCATCCCCCCTATAGTAATTCATCCCCCATATAGTAATTCATCCCCCATATTAAGTCCCCAAGTCCCCCCTGTGTCAATTCACTTACCTTTGCTCCGCGCGTTCCTCTCGCCGTGTTCCCGCGCCGTTCCGGTGTAGCATGAAAATCTGTCTCCTATGAGGATCTGTCCCCCTCGACGTATCTGCGCATGTGC